AATTTTGACTCTCTCTCTCTCACATGTTTTTGTTAATCCATGAAAAATACAAAAAAAGAACGTAAGAAATAGTGACATTGACAATTTAAAGTTCACCGTCTATCTTGGCAAAATGCCTGGTGAGAAATACTTCCTTTCAAAAATTTAGATATGATTTGCACTTGTCCACAAAACAAATTTATTAAGCATAATTTATCAAAATGTAAGATGTGTCAAGAGAATGAGTGCACTTAAGCTATAAGAGTTGGGTCCGGTTTCTATGTGCAAAATAAAATCCCGGAGGTCATTACTTTTATGTTAGTTATAGATATTAAACAATGCTTTAAGAGTAGGTTTGATGTAGTATATTACAAGAAAATATTAAATAATGCCGAGGGACACTAGCTCTTGAAAGTTTTATCACATTTCTATCGTTATTCATATGCAAACCACTTTTCAACGACATTGTTAACATCCGAGCCGCAACTTGTTCATTGATTTATTTGAACAGAATGTATTCACAAGTTTGGCTTTCCAGAAAGCCTTAAATGTCATCTCTTTGGTTTAATTAATGCCACAAAATAAACAGTGTATTGTAACTTTTTTCTCAGCTACAAGTAATATCTTTTCAAAAAAGCTTGCCTGACTAATGCAATCAATATCTATATAACCTATACGCATGATAAGTTATATACGTTTACATTTGGGGAGAGGTAATTGTTTCACTAGAGTAAATTATGAAGACGTCGCACAAAACATCATGCATTAATTTAAAGTTGTTTGCTACTTATCAAAGCAATGGAAAAGGAACCGTGAGATTTTATATAAAAGGTAAATTTGGAATGTGTTAAAAATTAGTTTTGTTCTTTTTTTGTTTGTTGTATAAGGACGCCACCACTTGCCTGTGGAGGGCTACAAATACTTGGGACTCACGACGAATGAGCAGTTACATGTATCTTTTTCGTTTTTTAAAATAAGATTCAACTGCATAGAATAATAGACTAAACTGTCAGTAAGACAGCTGAAAATATGATAACTACAAGAAATAAATGAATCGTTATGATTAAAATGCAGAATATGTTTAAGTACTAGATTGTTGGGTATGCCAGAGCATCAACGATTGTTGGAAACAGCCCGTTATACATAAATGACCCAACAAACTTCACGGTGATTTCTTATATTCCTCATTCCTGGAATAGGAGGAATGCTTTTCCTAAGTCTATTTTTTGTGTTTCCTAGGAGGGAGAATTTTATCTCTGAAAACTGGGGGGTGGGGGGGGGGGGTGGGTGGGAGGGAGGCTGCGGGTCCGGTCGAGATATGATCAGAAATATTGTGTACATTTGGCCAGTTTTCCTCTTAAGAATTTTTTTTCGTTTTGTTTTATTTACTTTAAATGATGGAACTTCTAACTTCTTTCACAATATGTTTTTTCAAAAGTTCGAAATTCCGATAAAAAGAACACACTTAAAGTTTTCATTTCCATTCAGTAGAATCATCTAAAAAAGGGCGCGAAGATATACACGTGAAATTTGGCGCAAAATGATTGTGACACGCCTAACCTAGAAGACAAATGGACCAATCCAATAGTACATGAAATGGCAAGAAATAAACAGCCGCATGCAAAAAACTTATGGAATAAAAATCATCAAATTTATTGTGTCCGGAAGATGGTTATTTTTTCTGCTAAATGTTTTGTTGAAACGCAGGTAACAAATTCCAGTGATAATCAGCATGCACAAAATTTTGCTGGCTAACTGTGACCTCTTAGCAATATTGATCCTTATACAGCCTGACGCCGTGACGTCGGGCAATTACAGATTTTTCTATTCTTCTAGGGAAGGGGAGTGGCAGTTTACCTGAACAGTTTTAGATTAGGAAAATTGTTAGTAATCAAACTCCAAAATCCTATGTTGTGGATGAGAGGGGAATATTTCAACTTTTTAGCTCACCTGAGTCGAAGGCTCAAGTGAGCTTTTCTGATCACATTTTGTCCGTCGTCCGTCCGTCCGTCCGTCTGTCTAGCTGTCCTTCTGTCTGTAAACTTTTCACATTTTCGACTTCTTCTCAAGAACCACTGGGCCAATTTTGACCAAACTTGGTAAAAAGCATTCTTGGATAAAGGGGAATTTAAATTGTTGAAATGAAGGGCCAAGTTCCCTCACAAAGGGAGATAATCAAATAAAGACAAAAATAGGGTGGGGTCATTAAAAAATCTTCTTCTCAAGAACCACTGGGCCAGTTAAGCTGAAACTTATTTGAAAGCATCCTGGTATAGTGTAGATTCTAAATTGTTCAAATCGTGACTACCGGGGTAGGGCGGGACCACAATGGGGAATCAAATTTTTACATAGAAATATATAGAAAAAATCTTCAAAAATCTTCTTCTCAAGAACCACTGGGCCAGTTAAGCTGAATCTTATCTGGAAGCATCCTGGGGTAGTGTAGATTCTAAATTGTTCAAATCATGACCCCCGGGGGTAGGGCGAGGCCACAATGGGGAATCAAAGTTTTACCTAGAAATATATAGGAAAAATCTTCAAAAATCTTCTTCTCTAGAACCACTGGGCCAGAAAAGCTGAAACTTATGTGGAAGCATTCTGAGATAGAGTAGATTCTAAATTGTTCAAATCATGACCCCCGGGGGTAGGGCGGGGCCACAATGGGGAATCAAAGTTTTACATAGATATATATAGGAGAAATCTTTGAAAATCTTCTTCTCAAGAACCACTGGGCCAGAAAAGCTGAAACTTATGTGGAAGCATCCTGAGATAGTGTAAATTCTAAATTTTTCAAATCATGACCTCCAGTGATAGGGCGGGGCCACAATGGGGAATCAAAGTTTTACATAGAAATATGTAGGAAATTTTTTAAAAAATCTTCTCAAGAACCACTGGGCCAGAAAAGCTGAAACTTATGTGGAAGCATCCTGGGGTAGTGTATTTTTCAAATTGTCTAAATTATGATCAATGGGGTAGGATGGGGTCACAATATGTATTACAAGGGGGAAATCTGGTAAAGAACAGAATGACCAAAGCTTCTCAGGTGAGCGATGTGGCCCATGGGCCTCTTGTTTTTTTATTTTTTCGACAAAAAATTCATTTTGTTTGTACATGACAAAAAGTGTGGATAAGGGAGAGGCTGGCATACATTGTAAACAATTACAGTAGTTCAAAGTTAAAAGGGCTGGTACACAGATTTGTAGATCTCATTTTCTAAAATTGTCTAAATAATATCATGATTCATATGTTGCTAAAGCATTTTTAAAACTACAAAGTTTGGGACAAGTTTCATTGACATTTATCCTAGCACTTTCACAAAGAAAACTTAATCCATATATAGATAACGCTTAATGACAAAAAGTCCATTATCCCTTTATAATATTTTGTTAAGTTGAAGAGTAGCTTTGTCCAATTTTGCACCGTAAGCCATGCTATAATTGTTTGAAAATAGTTTTTCAGTCACCAGAATTATCTTTTGATTGTATAAAATCATTTAGAAAAATATGATCTTCAGAAAAAGGTTAGCAAAACCATTGATTGTTTTGAACATGTATATTTCATGTAATGATATTGGGTACAAAAATTTAAATAGTCCCAAAAATCAACCATGAAGCACTGTATTCGATTATTTACATTTGATATCCTGAGTATATATTTTTAAATAGAAATCTATATTTATCTCCAACCAGGAAGTAAATAACAGATCTAGATCTCGTTCAAGTCTCACCTGGGTTCTCGTCCCAATATTCCATAGCCAGTCTGTCAACAAAGTCATTGAAAGGTCATTCAGGAAAAACTATTAAGCTGTTAGTATAAAAAATCTCATTTATTTAAAGTAACATTTTATGAAATTATAATTTGCTGACTTACAAATGTTTTGGAATTAAATTAAGTGCAAAGAATGCCACAGTACATACCTTTGCAGTTAATAATACCCCCCAGCCCCTCGAAAAAGAAAGTTACAAATACTTTCCTCAACTAAATGCACATTTATCTGCCGTCTAGCTGCCTAGGTTCGTCTGTTTCTCTGCCTATGTGATTGTCTCATTTGAGTTTCCTTAATGTGCCCAGAGAACTGATTTATTTGTATACATGTGAATGGGCCTTAATAAGATCAGATCAAGATCCAATTTTGTTATTAAAATTCTTCAATGTTCATTAGCAGGAAAAGTGCAAATTTCCCCAGTGTTCAATCCTTAAAAATTCAAATTTCTTATTTTGTACAAGTACCATTTATACCTGAAGGTGTGTTATGTTTTTTGGTGTTGAACCAATGTCATTTTGACAAGTTTAATTTCAATTTTAGAAGAACAGAAACCTAGACAGCTTCTGATTGTTTGCTGGAGAAACGAAAACTTTTTTTATTTAGGCCTACATATTTTCCATGAAAGATACACTTTTAAAAATATGAAATTGTAGCTGTAGTCTAAAACAAAAATAGTATTATTCATCAATTGATGTACATATACATACATGTATTTCTGAAGATACTAGTATGTTCTTCCATAAATTTAAATTTGTACATTTTTTTCATACCTTTATTCACAATGTTTATCATTTTAGATTGCAATATCCAAAATATATATTATTCCCAGAGCCCAACATTTTTTAGAATGTGGCACTGAAGAATGTTAAAGAAACTGTGAGCTATATTGTAACAATTGCCATTTAAAATTATGCAAACAATGTAAAGCAGAGCATCTGAAAAATCCAAAAAAAAAAAACCATGAGGTGGTCTTTTGCCAACAACGCAAAAGACAGCTTACTGTGGAGAAATGTGAAATCCACCCCACTAAAGATGTGGACATGCTTTGTGAAGAATGCCTATTTTATAAGTTTGTTCTAAATGCGTCACACAAAAAGAACATCGGGTGCACATATTTACTGACCTCGAAACGGTTTATGCAAATAAATATGCAGTCTTTCAAGAAGAAATCTCTACAATTAACGGGTACTTTCTCACTACATCAGAAAGTTTACAGGAAGAAACAAAAAATGATACCTGAGACATCAAACGAATCATGGAAAACATCAGATCAGAAATGAAGACTGACGGTGAGTCCCTGAAAAGTCTGGTGGACACAGTTGTATCTGAGAACATGAAGCAGCTAGACCTGATAGAGCAATCACTGTTAGAGGATCTAAATACCCAAGACAAGACATTTGACAATTACATCACTTATCTTAATTACCTGGCGAATGAACTTAACATATGCCTATCCCCTACAGAGCCCCACAAATTAATGTTTGCAAAGAAACCAAAGATCCATTTCTTACTAGAAACAACAAAACCAGCCACACCAGGGTTTACTGCTGGCCAATACAGCAAAAGTGATGTCACCAAATTACTTGGTAAAATACGAATCCCCAAAACCGAAGGAGAGAAAAGAGAAATTAAGTCCATGGACAGTGTTTACAATACAGCAATGAAACCTACACATCAACAAATGAAAGAAAACAATAAGAAATCTACAGTGAAACAAACATTGTCCCTATCTTCCTCTGTAACCAAGGTCAGGTAGTTCAATGTACCAGGTTATGATCACATATACCATCTATCACAAGAAAAATCAGACAGACTCTGGATCAGTGACGATGAGGGTAATCTTGTGTAAACAGATGTTCAGGGGAATGTGATACAGAAGATATAAAACAATGGTAGATATGGTTACCACACAATCACACAGGATGGGAATCTTATATTTACAGACCAAGACAAGAAAGTCATCAATAGGATAACACAGGATAATAATTTCACTGAATTCTTTAAAATTGCAGACTTGCGTCCACTCAGCATACACTCCTCCCAAATCAACAGGGACTTACTGGTGGGGATGAGGAAGAGAGGCTAAAGTCACCAGGTACAACAAGACAGGAAAAGAATTACAGAACATACAGAGGAATAACAATGGACAGGAACTGTATAGAAAACCACACTACATTACAAAGAACATCAATGGCGATATATGTACATCAGAAATTAATAAGGGTGTAGTCGTGGTAAATAAATCTGGACAATATAGGTTCTCCTACAAAGGTCGGAAGTCAGAGTTTCATCTACATGGAATTTGTACTGATGTCCTCGGCCGCATCCTGGTTTGTGATAGACACTATAATAATAGCACTGTTTATCTCCTTGATCAGGACGTCAGTTCTTGATTATGATTAACCAATGAAGTTCAAATTTGTTATGCTGGTTAAATATACTTATGCTGAGTTTGTTTTAATCTCTACGTTTTCTTTATATAATAAGAATGAATGGGTAAAGAGTGTTAACTGTTCCCACTTTTAACTATAAATCCTTGGGTTAATTGGTTTCTTCTTGAAAAAAGAGCTTTTAAATAAAATGTAAATAAATAATTTTATAATCACATAATGATTATTTTCTTTGGGTCAAGTGGTCGTTGTTTGAGGGAAAAGAAATTGATTCGTTGGGATATTTAGAATTTTATATTCGAAAAAAAAATGTAATAGTGCAGTTTTAAATTCTTAAACATTTTTTTTTAATTCATGGATCTCTTTATACTAAAATACAGAAACAAAACGTCCCAAGAGAAAACGATGTCGTAGTTTGACGATTTAATTCACAAAAAAGAAAACAAAACTGAAAAATTGTTGTAATGTTTTATTTTCCATCTGATTTTAAACTCCAAAAATAAATGTCTTACATTGTGTATACAATGACAAAAGCATTACTGGAAGAAATAGCAATTTCTATGTCAAAGATGTTGAAAATATTTTCAAGAACATTATTCAAGGATTATGTGAAAGAATGTGTTTGATAATTGATTGCATGTTTCTACTAATCGTATTGTTCATTTGAATAAATAAAAAATTAATAAAATTCAAATATATGTGTAAATGAGAACTTTCTTAAAATTGGAAAAGAAAAAAGTATTCTGTACAAAAAGTCCGCAAGCCCTTAGATTGTAGGTTCTTGATTTTTCATTTAGTAAGACTAGGATTTGTGTATGTATAAATATTTTTCCTAGATGCATGTATACAATTTTGAGCACTAGTCATTCAAGTTTAGCCAAAAAGAAATTACGTGCATAAAAACTAATTTTCAATGCTCAAAAATGCATTTTAAAAAGTAAAAGGAACAATAAAGTTACACACTTAAAAAAACATATGTAAAGGATTTCAATGTTCCTAATCATTCATAAACAATTTTTTTCCTCTCAGTTGTAATAATAAGATATTTTGAAATAAAATTAAAGAGAACATTGTAGAAATATTTGATAAATTTAGATATACATGTATCACAAAAATCATCATTAACTATTGATGAATAAAATAACTTGTCTAGCGAGCAGAATTCCGCCATGTTAGCAATATTA